GACCTTTCGCTTTCGAGGCAGGTGGCGGAACCACTGAACTAAATCCTTGGTCCATGCACACAAGGGTGTGTCACCATGCCTGGCTATTTTGGGGGGGGGTACCAGGGATCGAACTCAGGTCCTTCCACTTTCGAGGCAGTCAGCAGAACCACTGAGCTAAATCCCCGGCCCAATGCCTGGCTTTTTTCTGTCTTCTTGTTCTCCCTCTTCTACTCCTTTGCATATCTCTCCTCACCTTAACCCTAGTCTTCTTCTTCTTCTTTTTTTTTTTTTTTTGTTAAATTCTTTTATTGGTACATTGTAGGTATACAACACAATTACATTTCTCATTGGGAATTGTACCTTTACATAATGCATCTTGGTTCTTATTTTTTTCCCATTCCTAGCCCTCCCTTCACACCCTCCACCCTTCCCTATTTACAAAGACTTTATTTCCATTTTTTCCATTTCTCATCATTTTTCCTTTCCCTTCTTTCCTTTCCCCAACCCTAGTCTTCTTATTCCCTGGCTCTTTTCTCTCATATGTCTCTGCTTTTTCTTCTTCTCTTCTCTTTTTCCTTTACCTCTCAATGTTTTCTCCTTGAAATTCCCCCTGTATCTGTCTCTTTTCTCTTCAGTGGCTCTCTGTCCTTCACCCACCAACCCTGTTGTGTAAATCATTATTTCCCTGGGGAAGTGAGTCAGCCAACCTTTCCCTTGCTAGAATTTGATCTGAATGAAGGTGAGCTTGCTTCCCCCAAAGTGCAAAGCTAACAAGCCGAGGTGACCCAGGCATCTGGGCTTCCAGCATGAGGACACATAGTTCATCAAGCATTCCTTCCCCAGGGGCCAGCACACTGCCTGAAGACTCACTGGGCACCTCTGCAGAGGCTGCAGGCTGTGGGAGGGGACACCTGGTCTCTGAGGTTGCTGTAGGAAGCAAACCTGCTCTGTGGGAGGCTCAGGGCTGGATGTCCAAGACCCAGGCACCATGATTCCCATAATGTGACTTCACCTCACTACAGATTGCTAGCCAGGTGTGTAGTGTACATACTCTGGGAGCCTAAGTCTAGAACGCTGCAAGTTCAAGCCCACCCTGGGCAACTTAGTAACTAAGCAAGCCTTCTTTCAAACTGAAAAATAACAAGAGCTGAGGATATAACTCAGTTTGAAGGCCCTGGGTTCAATCCCCAGAACCACACACACACATACTTCACACCAAATACAAAAAATAATACAAATCTAGATTCCTGGGCCCTGATTCATCCTTATTAAATCAGAATATCTGGGGTTGAAGGGGGGTCCATAATGTTCATGTTAAAAGTAACTGTAAGGGTAACACATGCCCATAAGTATCTGTGTTGCATGAATTTTCCAGACAGACATAAAAGAAACATCTGCTTCCCAACTGATGGGGGGGGCGCGGGTGAGCGGGGGTCAGCAGTCCAAAGAAACACTCAACCAAGTCCAGCTTGGTGAGCAAATGAGTTTATCAGGGCTTATTAGTAATACAGCAGCGGATGACTTTCAGGCTGCAGCACCTAGGGAGTTGCATCCCATCCCCTGTCAGGCGGCTGCTTTTATAGAGCACTAATTAAAACAGCAAAAACAGGATCCAAACCAAGAGGGATCCTTGGGAAAACCTGTATGTGCTCCATCCCCACCCCCTCCTTATCAGGAAACTACTGGTCTCAGCAAGGACCTTCTGGACAGGGTAGTGTGGATTGAAGGGAATTGTGGTTATGTTAGCATTGTTTCTTTAGAGGCCACATTGCAGCTAAGTGGTGAGGCTGTGGTATAACATTAACTTTCCACCTTGTAAGGCATGGGCAAAAAAATACCCATACATCACCACATGCTCAAACTGCTTGACATGGTGTAAAGAATACCATTTCTTTCCCATCCAAATATAACACCAAAGGCCCCTTTCAAGAACAAACATATACTTATTTCATCCTGCTCCCCCTTTCCACCAATTTTAATCTTTTAAAAAAAATTTTATTCTGGGGATCGAACTCAGGACCTTGAGCTTGCCAGGCAGGCGCATCACCACTGAGCCACATCCCAGCCCTAATCTTTCAAATTTATCCAGAAGTGTTTCTAACAACACCAAGGGTACTGGACCCTGTCAAAGACATTCTGTCAGTCTTCAGACAACACCTGGCTATGCTTGAAATTGAGATGGACAACAGAACCACCATGATCTGATGAAAGCGTTCCTGGGACACTTACAGACCCTGTCTGTCCTTGTGTTAAGATCAAATATAAAAACCTCAGCTGGGCCAGGGATTTAGCTCAGTGGTTCTGCCGCCTGCCTTGCAAGCCCAAGGACCTGAGTTTGATCCCCAGTACCTAAAAAAAAACAACAACAAAAACCTCAGCTGTTCAGCCAGGCATGGTAGTGCTATAATCCTAGCACCCAGGAGGCCGAGACCCTGTCTCAAAAATTAAAAAAAATTTTTTTTTTGGTACCAGGGATCAAACTCGGGAAAAAAATGTTTTTAATTTTTTTTTTTTTTTTTGGCGGTACTGGAAGCTAAACCCAAAGTCTTTGCACTGAACTACATCCTCAGCCCCCTTTTATTTTTTGTTCCGAGACAGTTTCACCAAGTTGCCGTGGCTGAGCTCCAACTTGTGATCCCGGCCTCGGCCTCCCAGAGTGCTGAGATTACAGGCGTGTGCCACCACAGCTATGCTTGCCTCAAAATTTAGCTAAGGCCCCAAAGACAGAGACAGCACCAGAGTTGCTAACGCTAAAGCAAACAAGAAACCAGTGCAGGACTCCTGGCCTCAGGGGAAAAGCTGAAAAGCGCAGGAATTTGGAAATTCCTTCAGAGTTGTCAGCGTGCTAGACTGTCCCCACAAGCCACACCTCGCCAGGGAGAAGGAGCTGCACGAAAGAAAACTATCTGAGGGGTCTTGGAGGTGGAGCTCTGGGGTCTGGAATCCGACTGGCATCTGAGAAGTGGACAGGGGAGAGGTGACATGCAGTGGGCTGCACTTGCAGCTGTTTCCTGTAGACCCCCGCAAGGGTCTTCTTGAAAATACCACGCAGCCCAAAGTGTCTGGAGGTGTGTGAGGGGTAGCAGAAGCTGAGGCGGTGCTACGGCCGAGTGTCATGGTGGGTTTTCCTAAGAGCCCATCAAAGTGCTCGTGGGCATCGGGACTCACCCGCCCCGACCGCCCCTCTCCAGCCAGCCCTGCAGAGCCCCAGGACCCGGAACAGAAGAACTAGGCCAGCGACGCCGGAAGAAGGAGCTGTCCAGCAGGTGTCGCCCGGGCGCCTCCGGTGGGCGAGGGCGGGGCGCTCCTCAGGGACGCGCCTCAGAAAACCTACAGGACTTGCAAGGATTTCACCCCAGAACAACAAAGGAGTCCGATGGATCACTTCGAAAGCGCGGTTTCGAGGAAAGAAAAATCAGCTCCGTGCTTCTCCCTGCTAAATCGAGTCCCTTAAAACACTGGCCAATCCTGGCACTGTGGCTCACACCTCAACCCCAGCACTAAAGGAGAAGGATCACAAGCTCGATTCGGGCCTAGGCAATCTAGAGAGACCTTGACTCAAAATAAGAAACTGGAAGAGCTGTGGATGCAGCTCCGTGGTAGAGCGCTGCTGGGTTCGATCCCCAGTACAAAACACAGACACACAGACACGCACACAACCAAGCCAGTTCGGTGAGCGACGTCTTGGAAGGAAGAGAGGATTTTTTCCCACCACCACCTTACGCCTCACCCTCCAAGGCTAAACAATTCTGAGTCTGGAAGCTCACGTGTTTCCAAGGGCGCGGAATCCGCGAGATTTGAGGCGGAGCTTGCACCAAGGCGGTGCGGCAGAGGCCAGGGTCTGGGCCTACCCGGCAGCGCCCCCTGCTGACCGGAGCCTCAGCAGCTGACCTCGGGCTGCAGTGGGTTCAGGCCCCCCGAGTGTTGAGGAATTGAGCCATGGCTAGAGGTGGACCCTTGGAAGTGAGCGGGAGCCTGGGGGTGGGGGTGGGTATGGGGCAGATCTAGTCAGAAAGGTAAGCCATAGGAGGATGAGGTGGATAACAGGGGGTGAGGTAGGAAGAGGGGGAAGGAAGATTTGGAAAACTTGAGGTTAGCGTGGTGGCCCACACACATAATCCCAGCACTCTGGGAGGCTGAGGCAAGAGGATCATGAGTTCGAGCTCAGCCTGGGCAAAGGCCCAGGGTTCAGTCCCCAGAACAACGACAACAGCAACAACAAAAAGATAGAGAAAAAGGAAAGATGAGACAACAAGGAAAATTTACTGTAGCGCATCAGTATGTCAGTATACATCATTGCTATTTCATGCCTTTGAACTTTGCTCAAACTGGTATTTCTGTTTGGAAAGTGTAAGAAAGAGTGAATGTATAACTATCCATGTATCCATTCCTTTGCTTGGGAAATGAGACCTAACAAATACAAAGTATCCATGTACTCCACCTTTCCCTGTCTCCCCAGAGATGACTCCTTAAATAAAAAGATTTTATTTACTGAATATGCATTAACTGATAATATACAGATATGTCCTTTATTATACATATAGCATATCCTGTATAGAGCCATATATAGTATGTGGCAGATATACATTTATAGTGCTTAGTGTGCGTACTGTACACACAGTGTGTATTCATGAGTGCATATATACCTAGATATGGAAAGAGAAAATATACACCCCTTATCTTTTTTTTGTACTGGGGATTGAATCCAGGGCCATCTCACTAAGCTACATCCCCAGTCCTTTTTTATTTTTGAGATAAGGTCTCCCCTAAATCACTAAGTTGCCCAGACTGGTTTTCAACTTGTGATCCTCCTGCTTCAGCCTCCCAGAATGCTGGAATTACAGACATGTGCCACTGTTCTGCTTCTCTTTCTCCCTTAAGATCCTCCATTTAAGATTATTCCCACCTTTTTCTACCTTGCTAACTCTACAAAGTTATTATTCTTCTGGAAGCTTTTCCAGACTCCCAGCCTGGCCCAGGCACCTCTCCTGCCTCTCTGCCTTAGCTCTTACACTTACCCGGCTCCGTTGAAATGCTTTAGTTGAGTTGTCTGTCCTTCCCATTAAGCTCTGAGCTTTCTGGGATCCCAGATGACACATGCAGGTGGCCCACTCGCCAGCCCAGAACTTGGCACAGAGTGGAAAGTAGAGTTGACCTGCCTGTGGGAATAAGGCCAGAGAGGCCAGCGAGGTCAGGAGAAGGCTTTGGACTTTACCCTGGCAGGTGCTTTCTCTAGCTGTGCTTGGTGAAATCTCTCAGGTTATTGGAGGACAAATGAAAGCTGGCAAAAGGAAGCAGCTGTAGTCTTCCTCATCCTGCTTCAGCCAAATCTGATTCTTCTTTCTGTGTCTTATTCAGTGGTCTTCTATACAAAGTTTCATTTAAATAAATATCGTGGTTTGTGTAGACTGTTGCTTTTGGTGCTGGGGTGGGCCTTGCACTTGCCAAGCATGTGTTCTACCACTGAGTTACACCCCATCCCATGGGGTGTATGTAAGGCATTATGGCAATGATACCATGCTAATCTGAAGCCCCTGAAGATGCTCAAGGGAGGGTCAGAGTCCTTCTTGAACTGCAACAAGGTTGTGAAAACAGTAATCACAGAGAAGCCAGAATAAGAAGCCGATCATTGGGAACCCTGGCTGGGCAGGAGGAGAAGGTGTTCAGGACACCTAGGGGTGGCTTGAGGGCTGAGGGCCTGTGACAGTCTGGATCTGAGGTGTTCTCGAAGACTCCTGGATGAAGGCTTGCAGTGCTCAGTGCAGCAGTGTGGGCGGGGCGAAGGGTGCTCTGGGGAAGTGGTTGATTATGAGGGCTCTGACCTCCTCCATGGGTTAATCCATTGGTGGTTTCATGATTTCATGAGCTCATAATTTGATGGGTTATAGGGAAGTGAGGGAAACTTGGGAGGTGGGACCTAGCTGAAGGGAGTGGGTCCTTATCTTATCCCCAGGACTCTTTCTCCTTCTCCTTTCTCCCCTTGTCTCCCCTCTGCCATGATGCTCTTCCTCCCTATAGGTCCAGCAACAATGCAGCCAGCTAGGGCCAGGGATGTAGCTCAGTGGTGCCACTGCCTGCCTCACAAGCGCAAGGTCCCAAGTTCAAACCCCAGTACCAAAAAACCCCACCAAACAAACAAACAAAAAACAATGCAGCCAGCTGACCACGGACCAAGACCTCTGAAACGATGATCCAAAGAAAACCATTCCTCCTTGAGGTTGATTTTCTCAGGGAGTTTGTCACAGTGGCAGACAGCCACTAACACAAAGCCTGAGAAGGCCTGAAAGAATGGTGTCCAGGGGCTGTGCTCTGTGGATCTTGCTCTGGGTCTCCTTCATCGTGGCCAGGATCCTCCTGGCACTTGTCCAGCATGAGGAGGTTCCTCTAGCCGCCTCCCAGAGTGTGCCTGATCCCAGTCTAGCTTCAGCCCTGTGGGGAGATCAAAACTCTCCTGAGTGAGGGTGCCTCACAGTGCCCCACAGAAAGAGGCAGCTGAGCTCCCTGGTGTCCTGGGCCAGCCTTGGTGGCCTCCCTGCTGAGCACCGTCTGTGGCCAGTGCTGCCTTAAGGGGAGCTCAGTGACACTTTGTGGAATGAAAACAAGGGAGGAAGAAGTGAAGAAACAGCTGGGAAACACATGGAGGGAAGACAGACCCCACGTTTCCCTCATTCGTCCTTTGGGTCAGCAAGCAAGGAAACGGCTGTGTGGTCCTGAGGTGATGGAGCTAAGGGAAGTCGAGCTGGTTCTCACCCTCTCCAGGACTCCCAGTTAAGGACAAGATGGACATGTCTGGGGTGAGTGACAAGTCTTGTCTGGTTACAGACTTATACATTTTATAGCCTTAAACGGGGTGTGAGGGTGCACACCTGTAATCCCAACACTCAGGCCCCAGCAGGAGGATTGCTGGGAGTGTGAGGCCAGGCTGGGCTTCATAGTGAGTTCCAGGCCAGCCTGAACTACATAGCAAGATCCTGTCTCAAAAAAACAAAAACAAACAAAAAATAAAACACTGACCACCACCACCACCAAAACAAAAGCAAATACATTTCATAGTCTTATAGTAAGTGATATATATGGGAAGTGAAGTCCTCCCAGAGGACAGATCAAAACATGGCTGGGAATATGAGTTGAGTGTCAGTTTCCTCATCAGTAAATTGCAGGCACTGGGTTGCTGGGCTGCCAGAGAGACTTGTAGCTGTGGCCATCCTGACGTCTGTGTGCCCCTCTTTCCTAGGGCGGCCTGGAGCTCACTGCTTCAGCTGGAGGCAGGACTGGCTTTTCCCAGAATGGGGGAGGATGATGTGATATGGGAAGTTGGATGTGGGGCTGGACGGGAAGCCTGCCAGCTTCCTGGGTCCACCGTGGATTCTCTGAAGAGCAGACACTAGTATTCCCAAGTAAGCAGAAGCCCAGGCCTCTGGGGTGCCTTGAGGACTCCTGAGGAAGGGCCTGCCACTCCCTCCATAAATGCCTCTTCCTAGCTGGTCGTTTGACTCTTGTCTTGTTTTTTGTTTGTTTGTTTTTGTTTTGGTACTGGGGATCGAACTCAGGACCTTGCACTTGCAAGGCAGGCAGCAGAACCACAGAGCTAAATCCCCGGCCCAAGGATTTTAAAGACTTTCTTTTTTCTTTTTGCGGTACTAGGGATTGAACTCAGGACTTTGTGTTTGCCAGGCAGGTGTGGTGCCACTGAGTTACATCCCCAGCTGCTTGGTTGGTTGACTCTTGATGTCTCCAAATTTTCCATTCAGAGGAATTGTGTTTTTCATCTTGAATGATCCTCTATTTAGCCTAAATCTCTCACTCTGTGTGTGTGTGTGTGTGTGTGTGTGTGTGTGTGTGTGTGTGTGTTTAGTGTCTAGTTCAGGCTGGCTTTGAACTCACTATGCAGCACAGGCTGACCTCAAACTCTAGGCAATCTCCCTGCCTCAGCCCCCCAAATACTGAGATTACAGCTGTGCACTTCTACACCTAATTCCCTCACTTTCTAGTTTAGGAGACTGATGCCTACAGAGGTCCAATGACTTGCTTAAGGTCATACAGTAAGTCAGTTGTCCCTTTATTTTTAAATTTTGAGACAACGTGACAAAGCAGATCTGTATGGGCTGAATGGCTGGGCGTGTGGGTGGGGCAGTTCACAACTGCAAGCTTCTGACTAGCGTTTGGTGGTGGTGGTGGTACTAGAAATTGAAACTAGGTCTTCACACATACTAGGCAAGTGCTCCACCAGTGAACTATACCCCCAGCTCTTGATTGTTTGTGGTACTGGGGATTGAATCCGAGTTACAACTCAAGCCTTTTTGTTTTTTTTGGGTTTTTTTGGTACCGGGGATCGAACTCAGGACCTTGTGCTTTCGAGGCAGGCACCAGAACCACTGAGCTAAATCCCTGGCCCAACTCAAGCCTTTTTAAAACTGTTTTTGAGACAGGGTCTTGGCTCAGATTTGTGATCCTCCTGCCTCAGCCTCCTAGAGTTCTGGTATTACATGTGTGCTCAAGGACTGTTGATCCCTTCTGTCTCCCTGTAGATCAGGACTGGAGGGACATGTGAAGAAAAACAGCCTGGGTGTCGGGGGTGTGGTAGAACACTTGTCCAGCACTCTAGAGGTCCTGAGTTTGATCCCTAGCACCAAAAAAATAAAACAAAAATTTAAATAACTGAATAGCCTGGACCCATATACATCAGGTTGTGTGTGGGTGTGTGTATGCGTGTGTTTATGTAAAAATCATTTTTAAACTGGAAAGCTTAGCAGGCATGGTGATGTACACCTGTAATCCTAGCACTCGGGAGGCTGAGGCGGGAGGATTGCAGTAAATTTGAGGCCAGCTTGGACCACATAGTGAGACCCCGCCTCAAAAAACAAACAAAAAAATAAGAACCAAGATACATCATGTAAATGTACAAGATCCCAATGATGAATGTAACTGTATTGTATACCTAAAATGCACCAATAAACTTAATAGAAAGAACAAAAACAAACAAAAACTGGAAAGCTTGTCCCCTCCTTGGTCTGAGTCCATTCTGCAGCTGCCTGGCCTCAGGCCCACCCAAGGCTGCTGGGATCTGGCAACCACACTGTATCACCTTACCTCACACCACATGCACACGCGTGCCCAGCCTGGCCTCTGGGCCTTGACCCTGTCCGCCTCGAGCTGGTTCTGTTAGCCCAGCTTGGTGCATTCAGGGTGAGCCCATAGGCAGCTTTGCTGAGGCCACCCCTTGAGGCGATGGGGGCAGGAAGACTTGGGAAACTACATGACAGGGGTTTTTTTGGGGTTTTTTTTGTTTTTTTACTAAATGACAGTTTTTGTTACCCTCTCTCCCCCTTTTTCTGGGATTTTCCACCTGCATCGGCCCAGCTAGAACAGATGTGATTTTTTTGTTTGTTTGTTTTTTGAGCCAGTCTTGCTATGTAGTCAGGCTGGCCTTGAATTCGTTGCAATCTTCCTGCCTCAGCCTCTTGAGTTCTGGGATTACAGGTATGAGCTGCCACACCTGACAGCATCTTTGAGAGCAGGAATAACAGTGCATCCTCTGAAAAGACCCCGTGCTCCCTCTTTCCTGTCTCTCTTCTTCACCCTAGACCTTGTCTGTCCCCTTAGAAGTCCTTGTCTGTCTTGCTGGTGTGGTGGCACATGCCTATAAATCCCAGCACTGAGGAGGCTGAGGCAGGAGGATCACCATGAATTTGAGGCTAGCCTGGGCTACATAGGGAGTTCAAAGTGGGACCTTCTCTCAAAAAAAATCAATAAACCAAGAAACAAATAGACAGAAGTCCTTGGCTATCTTCTAGTCAGACAGCTCCTGGCAACACCTTATCCAGGCTCTTCCATCTGCCAGAGACCTAGAGGCAGTCTGGTCTGCAGCCTGCTGGCTCGGTGACCCTGGGCATGGAGACCCCCCTCACTCCTGCCCAGGCCCTCAGTGCTCTGCATGAATTCACATGGCTTATTTAGTCACATAGCTGCTCATTTACCTGCTGTCCTTCCCCAGCACACTGACTTACCCACACCTTCCTTCCCTCTCATTTGAGCCAGGCAAATGTCTGGAAACAGACTGGCCTCAGATAGAATTAAAATGCACACATAGCCAGGCATGGTGGTGCATGCCTATAGTCCCAAGACAAGAGAGACTGAGGCAGGAAGGTCTCATGTTCCAGCCCAGCTTGGACTATACAGGGAGTTCAAGGCTGGCCTGGACTACATAGACAGACACTGTTTCAAAAAACTAAAAATTAAAAATAAATAAAAAAAAATAAAATGCACACACAGAAGCAGAATAACACAGCCAGACACAGGGCTATGTGCTTGGAAGTAGCCCTCCAAATCTACAGGAAGATCTTAACAAAGATCAGTAATCTCAATTTTACAGATTGGGCAAGGGAGGCTCAGGGCTGCCGCAGTTCACTGGGCAAAAGAGGCATCAGCTGTCCCTGGGGTGCCCCTTCTTGTCCCCCTGCCAGAGTCAGTGCTGTCACAGCCCTGACCACAAGCTGAACACAATGTTTTCTGGTTCTAAGTTGGCAACCCGAGGCTGGGTTAAAATTGCATGAACTAAGGCAGAGAGTAAAACCCTTAATGCCCAGGGTATTGATTCGAGTTACACAACCAAGGCTGCAAGACCTTCCCTTGAGAGATTTCCAAACCTTTCTGATTAAGGACACAGGAGCCAGGGAGCCTTGTTACCCCAAAAGTGGGCCTGTGGGAGGCAGCAGGACCCAACTGCAGCGTCCATGGTCTCCGGCTGTACCCACTGCTCAGCAATCATGTGTATTTGAATAGAACGGAAGCCCCATTTTCTTGGGGATAAAACACTTGAAGAAATATTTCCCCAGTGAAGTTCAAAATCAAATGATGTTATAGGGCTAGAAGTGGATTAATCAAATGTTTACTTATATAATCTAGTCAATTCTTTTGTGTGTGTGGACTGGCATTCAAAGCCAGGGCCTCCCACATCTTAGGCAAGTGTTCTGCTACTGAGCTATGTCCCCAGCCCCCAAATTAAATTCTTTAACTTATTAATTTAGAATAGTTTGGGTAACCTTTCATTTCATTTTTTTTGGTACTGGAGATCGAACTCGGGTCTTTGCCCCTGCGAGGCAGGAGGCAGGCGGTAGAACCACTGAGCTAAATCCCCAGCCACATTTTGTTTTGTTTTAAGACAAGCTCTCTCTATATAGCCCTGGGCCGGCCTCAAACTCCCTATGTGGTACAGGCTGGCCTTGAACTTTCAATCCTCCTGCCTCAGCCTCTTGAGTGCTGAGATTACAGGTGTATAATTTTATTCAGATGCTCTACCCTGCTGACTGACTGGAGTGACACTGGGCTAACGTGTCTGCTAAGAGCTTTTTTTGAAATAAAGTATATGGTGGAAAAGTACCCTCAATGAAGAAGACCTTCAGGACATGAGCATGGCCCAGCGCTTCTCACTGGACTTTGGGCCCAATTTCAGTGCTCTTTGCCTCACATCAGGCTGTTTGCTTTCAGAGCCCTCTTCCCATGTTCATTCCACAGCCAAGGCACCCAGGTTGAAGAAGTGGGTGGTATGGTTTAGGAGGCCACCCCAAGCAGGCAACAAGCGGCAGCTTGACTTCAGGTAATTCCAAAGAATTTACCCAGTGTCCTGGGGTCAAGTGCACCAGCTGCCAAAGGGAAGAGGTTCCCTCTATCTGGCATTGCAAGCAGCTGCAGGAAGAGCTGGGCCTTCCTGAGGCAGGTGCGTGGATCTGAAATGACCCCAGAAGGTTGGCAGGTCTGTCCCTGGGCAGATGGATCACCTGATAGAGACAGATGTCAGGGCCCCAGACCTTGGAATTGGCTCAAAGCTGTGTTGACCCAGGAGCCAGGCCTTGGCATCCTTTCAATCTGCCATCTGAGCCAAAGCCTAGAAATAGTGCTGGGGCAGACTGCCCGGCTCAGTGTGCAAGAGGAGGCAACCATGCAGGTGCTCACCAAGCACTACCCCAAGAACTGCCTGCTGACCGTCATGGACCGGTACTCGGCTGTGGTGCACAACATGGAGCAGGTGGTGATGATCCCCAGCCTCCTGCGGGACGTGCATTTGACGGGGCCTGGGGAGCAGGCTCAGGCCCCCGATCTCTACACCTATTTCACCATGCTCAAGACCATCCGCGTGGAAGTGGATCACGGGCTATTGCCGAGGGAAGAGTGGCGGGCCAAGGCGGCAGGCCACCAAGCCAATGAAGCTGAGGACGATGAGGCTGTTGAAACGGAGGAGGCCGGGGAAGAGAGGATCTCCAGAGAGCTGGACCTGGAAGCCCAGTTCCATCTGCACTTCTCCAGCCTCCACCACATCCTTACCCACCTCACCCAGAAAGCCCAGGAGGTGACGAGGAAATACCAGGAAATGACGGGACAGGTCCTGTAGGCCTTGAGCTCCAAGGGAGGTAATGGTGGCCACGCTCATGGGTCAGAGTCCCTGGGAACCTAGTGGGAGAGGGACAGGCCAGCTCTTGGACAGAGCCACCCTCACACCTGGGCATTGGAACTGTCACCTGGGAGGGCCCAATATGGGGGCCTGCCTTATTATCCTTCCAACCCAGCATGGGCGAGTAATGGCAGTGAGCTGTTACAGAGGCAAGGAAAAGTAGCCTGGAAGTGCCAGCTTCCAGGCACATGTGTGTTTGTGCATCTGTTCATTTATTAGTAAGCATGTGAATGCCTTAGACGTATGAACTGAATGAGCATGCTCTCACTATGCACTTCTTTAAGAACCTGATTACAGCTATGGACTCTCTCTGCAGTTCAGGTACTTAGACATGTAACTGCATTAACTTCAGGGGAGATGCCATCCACAAAGCCCATCTGTGAATCCTGAGAACTTCTTTTTTTTATTTTTTTGTACCGGGATCAAACTCAGAACCTTTCGCTTTCAAGGCAGGTGTGGTGCTACTGAGCTAAATCCCCCACCTGAATCCTAAGAACTTCTAATGTCATGCATGTGCAAGTAGCTTCCATTTGAGCACACATTAAATGGCAGCACAGCTTCTAAGTGGTCAACACAGAATTCTCACAATGACCAGATGTGATGGTACACATCTGTAATCCTAGCACCCTGGCAAGTTGAGGCAAGAGGATCAGGAGTTTGAGCCCAGCCTGGGCAGTTTAGTGACTCTGTGACCCTGTCTCAAAATAAAAGACAAAAGGGCTGGGGATGGAGCTTAGTGCAGAGGCTCTGGGTTTGATCCTTAGTACTGTAAACTAAATAAAACCTCACAATAATTCTACAAAGATGAGTTTTATTATTTCTACTTTACAGATGAAGACATTTACCTAAGGCAGGCATATTTACTTAGGTATGCTTTGTGAATCCTATGTGAGCATGGCAGTGCTTTTCACTTTTTCAAGTCACGGAACATGGAAAACCACCTTTTTTTCCCATACTATTTTGTTTTCTTATTTGTTTTTGCTTTTTTTTTTTTTTTTTTGGTACTGGGGATCGAATTTGGGACCTTGTGCTTTCAAGGCAGGTGACGGAACCACTGAGCTAAATCCCCAGTCCCTTGTTTTTGCTTTTTTACAGGGTCTTGCTTTGTAGTCTAGGCCAGGCTTGAACTTGCTGTGTAGCACAGGCTAGCCTAGAACTCACAATCTTCCTGCTTCAGCCTCCTAAATTCTGGGATTACCGCTGTGTACCACCATGCCCAGAAGAAAATTATATTTATATGCACATGCGGGTACACAGGTGAGGCTGCTCACAGTATTCCTGCAAGAGGCAGGGGGCATCCTAAGTTGCAACCAGGGAAACAGAAAGCCAAAGGACCACTGTCTTGGCACTTGAATCCATTCTGGCATCAGGGTGCATAGGTGTGCCCACCAGGAGGCTCTGTAGTGTGTACGTGTACACGTGAGTCTGAGTCTAAGCCTGGATATGCATCCGCAGAGGGGCTGGGCTGTGGTGTGAATGAGCAGCAACCTTGAAAAGCAGGTGTTGGAACATGGTGGAAGGTAGGAAGAGACCTGGCCCAGCCATGGGTGGGTCCCTCATGGGTAGAGTGGGAGAAACTAGACCATAGCAGCTGCCAGTTTGGCCTGTGTGCCACCTGCCAGCCTTCTCCCACAGACTGGCTTTAGCAGCTATCAACCACATCTATGGCTGCTGGAATCTCAAAACCACCTAGTGTACATATGGATTCATATTCTTGGCTTATTAATAAGGAAATTAGTCACATAAGTGGAGTGACTCACCCAAAGTCACAGAGTTGGAGGACAAAAGCAAAACTGCCCCCAATTTGGGCCGGGGATTTAGCTCAGTGGTTCCAGTGCCTGCCTCGCAAGCGCAAGGTCCCGAGTTCGATCCCCGGTACCAAAAAAAAAGGAAGAAAAAAAAACTGCCCCCAATTTCAAACTGAGTGTTCTTTACATAATGCTACTCTGCCACTCTAATGATGGGGAGTAAACATGGACACCCCACGCCCTGCCACAGACCTACAGAGCTCTGCTCCAGTGCTTTCCCATCATTTTTTGGTTCTCACTTTAGATACAAATGGTCAAAGGCAAGCCCACTTCTCTCTCCTCTTGAGGGTTCCTGGCTGCCTTCCAGAGGTTCTTGAATTTAACTGGGCTGGGCCAACAGCCAGGTGTCCCTGGGCAGTGAGCTGTGGGTTCATTTCCCCCTTCCAGCACTAATGAGCAGTGAGGCCTTTGCTAAGCCGCTTCACTTCTTTGGATTTCAGTTTCTCAACTGCATAGCACCAGCTGTAAGAATAACAACTGGTATTTTAGTAATGTTTAAATCATTTATATATTAATTATCTAGTGAATCATCATTACTATTTTTTTTCCCTTTGGTACTGCGGATTGAACTCAGGGCCTTTGCACTAAGCTATATCCCCAGCACCCCCATTTAATTTTTTATTTTGAGAGAGGGTCTCACTTAAGTCACTAAGGTACTTAGGCTGTGCTCAAACTTTCAATCTTCCTGCCTCAGCCTCCTAGAGTGCTGAGATTACAGGTGAGTATCACCACAACTGGCTTCATTACTCTTTTATATTTATATTTTCTTCTTTTTTATATTTAATATTTTAATTTATTTGCAAATGATTTAGACATTTTATCTTTATCATATTAATTTGCATTTAAATTACATGAAGAGCACACTTGATAAACATTATCCCATCTATATTTCCATTTATTTATGTATTTGGTACTGGGAATTGAACCTAGGAGTACTCTACTACTGAGCTATATCCCCAGTTCTTTTTCATTTTTTATTTTGAGATAGAGTCTCACTAAGTTTCTCAGGCTGGGCTGGAACTTGTGATCCTCCTGCCTTAGCCTCTCAGAGTGCTGGGATGACAGGCATGTGTCACTATGCTTGGCTTCTGGGTTCTCAAGGTTGTTCTGTTTTTTTCTTTTCTTAGACAGAGTCTCACTATGTAGTTCAGGCTGGCCTTGAATTCACAGGTCCCTCAGATTACAGGCATGCACCACCACATTTGGCCTCAGTTTTTTTGTTTTTTGTTTTGTGTTTTTTGGTACTGGGGAGCAAACTCAGGACCTTGCATTTGTCAGTCAGCCATGGTGCTGCTGAGCCACACCCTGGGCCCTATTTTTACATTTCTGATGAAAACTGAGATACCATACAAGTATAGTCATCATTTTTTTTTGTCAAAGAAAAACTCCAAAGGTTGTTGCAGTTGAAACATAGAGAGCATTTGACATCATATCTTAAACATTTACCAGACAAATATAATCCTGACTAGCCAGCAACCTGAGCAAAAATGCATTTGAACAATTTTAAAGATATCTCTAGTGTTTTTGTTTTTTTTTAAAGTTTCCACTTTTAACCTCCGTTGTTCCTTAGAATTCATTCTTTCACTTCAGGGAACACAAACTCGGCGCATCTAACAAGAGGTTAGGAGTTACATTTATTTATCCTGTATCAATACCATGTGATGTTTCAATACATATACATGTATAATTTTTAAATGAAGTTAAACATATCTATCTCCCCAACATTTATCTTTTTTCTTTTTTTGGTACCAAGGATCAAACTTGGGACTTTGCGCACTCGAGGCAGGTGTTGGAACCACTGAGCTAAATCCCCGGCCCTCTCGTGTATTTTTATATTACTAACTAAAGAGCTTATGGGGATCTCAGCTGGCTCCTTGTATGTTCTTGGCTTGTCATGTAAAAGAGTTGCAAGACTTGGCAGTGAGAGGCATGGGGAGATTTATTAGGAAGCACCAAAGATGTACACACTCAGGAAGGACTGAGACGCACTATGGTCTCAGATTGGGGTTTTTATGTGACCTTGGGGGTATCCTCAAGACAGATGATATAGGATGCTTTTTTAAATTGTTTATCATTTACATAGTGTCTGTTTTCTTAAGGTCAGGTTGCTCATTAGTGGGTTAAATGAAAAACTGGCTTTATCAGCTATGTTAAAATAGGAATCGTTTGTATGTGTACGAAGTTTTGAGATATCATATCTAATTAACAGTAGAAGCCCTTGGAATCAGTGGATTTTTATATCAAAAGAAAAATATAGGCCAGTGCTGGGGATTTAGCTCAGTGGCACTGCACCTGCCTAGCAAGTGAAGGTCCTGAGTTCGATCCCTGGCACAAAAAAACCCCCAAAACCAAAAAACCGCAGGCCAATTTACAGACTTATTTTGTCCTTTTTTTTTTCTTCTTATTGTGTCTTTAAGACTCCTAGGGATTTAGAGAGAGAGGGGCTTATAAGAAAAATAGGGGTGGAGTAGAAAAGGGAGTGTGACCTTGGGTAACTTTGTGTTTTGAAGCTGCAGTTTTCTTAAAAGTACAATTTTGGGGCCAAGGATTTAGCTCAGTGGTTTTGCCACCTGCTTCACAAGTCCAAGGTCCCAAGTTTGATCCCCGGTACCAAAAAAAAAACCAGTACGATTTAAAACTTTTAGTTTTTCATCTCCTTTCTACCTTTTATTTCTTTTATCCGACCTCAGCTTCACCTTGAGGGGACTGGACCAAGGCAGCCAAACTGGCTCTTCTTTGCTTTCTCATTTCAGGACTGCATGTCCTTCTGATCCAGGGACTCAGCTTCGGGAATTTGTCTCAGCTCCCCAGAAGCTGGTGCCAGTGGCTCACATCTATATGAAGAGGAAGAGACAAAGCAAAGAATCTCTTCCTATGCGCCAACGAAAATAAGGTCAAGAGCATGTGTACAGACTGTGGCCATCAGACTCACTATTCAGTTTTCTCCTAAGTACATCTCACTTCTTTAACCCCCTGGGATCAAGCCAGTAATCCACATCAGAGGCTGTGCTCAAAGGAAAGAAACTTGGCTGAGCAAATGGGAGTCAAACTCTCAGATTAGTCCTGTTTTCTCCCTTATTATTGGAAAAGGGCAAGAAAAGGGAACAGCTTTCCCTCCCACTGGAGGAAAAGGAAAGCGCTCCTGCAGGAGGACTAAGCCAGTGAGTCAGCCCAATCCAAACCTACCAATGGGAGAACTCTGAAATCATCACGTGGCGGCCACTGGGCCCCAGAGGTTGGTCAACTGTCTCTAAGGCTGGCGCTCTCCTAGAGGGCCCCAGCCCAGGTAGCAGAAGTATGCCACAGACCACAGCAGACGCTTTGTGCTGTCTCTTCCTCTTCATAGGATGTGAGCCACTGGCCATGGGATCTGGGATCAAATCCTGTGGAGCTAAAATTCCCAAAGCTGAGTCCCTGGATCAGAAGGATGTGCAGTCTTAAAATGGGAAAGCAAAGAAGAGCCAGTTCAGTTACCCTGAGCTTTCTAGTAGAAGAATCAGACAGAAGCGCTTTGGCAAGGGAACAAGGCTTTTTTTTTGGTACCAGGAATCGAACTCAGGACCTTACACTTGAGAGTATAATTTTTTTTGGGGGGTACCAGGTATTGAACTTGGGTCCTTGTGCTTACAAGGCAGGTGGTGAAATCACTGAGCTAAATCCCTGGCCCTGCGAGTATAATTTTTTAATAAATATATATATATTTTTGGTACTGGGGATCGAACTCAGGTCCTTGTGCTTTTGAGGCAGGCAGCAGAACCACTGAGCTAAATCCTTGGCAAGGCTTTTATTCTTATAAATAAAAGCATGAGGGGGAAAGCCATGGGGGACAGGAACCCCGGATTGGCAGCATCATTACCTTTTCCAGATGAAAAAACCTGAAGGCATGAGAAGTGAAATGAGCCTCAGGTTACTAAGTAAATGGCAGAGCCAAGAAGGGAACCTTGGCCTAACTCCAGTCTCATTCTTTTCCTCTATACCTGTGGATTTTTTTTTTTTTTTTGAGACAGGGTCTTGCCATGTAATTCACCAGCCTTTAATTCACTATGTAGCCCAGGCTAGCCTTGAACTCATGGTGATTCTCCTGCCTCAGCCTTCTGAGTGCTGAGATCACAGGTGTGTGTCACCATGCCCAGCACTTATGGATTTTTTGTTTCTCAGAACCTTAGAATAATGTAGCCTTGGCTGGAGGTGGGAACTGGGAATGGCAGAAGGGCCAGAAACCCCACACGCTGACAAACCAAATAACTTCAAAGGCCACAGCAGCAACTCTGTATCATAATAATTCAATGTATCCTAACTAACCTGATTTTCTTTGGTGGAGGCAGTAGCTGGGGACAATGGCATATGCCTGTAATCTCAGGACTTGGGAGGCTGAGGCAAAAGAATCACAAGTTCAAGTCCATCCTGCATGGGCAACTTATCAAGACCTTGTCTTAAAGCTGGGCATGGTGCTGCTTGCCTGTAATCCCAGCACTAAGGCAGGAGGATTGCCATGAGTTCAAGGCCAACCTGGGCTACACAGTGAGTTCAAGGCCAGCCTAAACTACATAGTGAGACCTTGTCTCAAAAAACCAAAAGAAAAATGAAACACCAAAAAATGCTAGGGGTGTACTTGGTGCAGAAGCCCTGTGCTGAATCCTCAGTCCTCATCTCTCTCACACACATACACACACACACAGACAATCTGGGCTCTTTTCTTGGCTCTGTCACTGTCCTAGACACTACCTCTGCCTCTCAGTTTCTGTAAAATGTAGAGGAGAAATGAGTGATCCTCGGTCTGATAATGCATAATTCACTTGAGTGCTGCCATTCTCCTAGCAGCAGTACCAGCTTTTTCACTGCTATTCCGACTTCAGTAGGCATGTGATAGTACTTTGTTGAATTTGTTCTCATTTGACATTAAGTTTTCTGCACTCCACAGATCACTTCACACAAGAAGGCAGCCTCTGGGATCCAGCAGTTCATCAGTCCTGAGAGCAGAAAGACCTGAACCTGCAGCTGGATGTGAAGGCTACTTGTGCCTCTGGAATGCTTCCCTACTTCCTTGTGAGCTCATTTGCCGACTCCACTCACTGGCTCACCTAAGGACATTTGTCGATACTTACAGTTCCTTTCCCTCCTCTTATCAACTTGGGGTGGCAACCTGGTTCATGAGTTACCTGTCCAGTGCGGCAGTTAGAACAAGCAGAAGCATTAGCACATAACCAGTGTTCATTCACATCCCTCCTTTTGGGAGTCATCCTCTATGTGATCTCGGGAATCATCACCCACAAGCGCCTCAATTCCCTCTAGTATGAAACAGTTTCAATCTACCTCACAAGGTTACAGAAATGAAACAAGATGAATCGGAACTACCTGGCATGTGAGAGCTATTGTAATAGGCTGATTTTTTTCTCCCACCCTCTCCTATGTATTTGCTCTAGTCCTTGCTGTTTTACAAGATTAAGAGATGAGTCCCTTGTAATAAATGGCTCACACTGCTGTACCTAATGAACCCTATGAGGCTAAATAGATTAACTATAAATAAACATATTTATTGTAGTAGAAATTTAAGAAAAAAATGCCTTGTATTTGTGTATCTCTTTTTCTTGCATGCATGGGGAGGGGGGATATTTGATACAGTCTCGCTATGCAGTTGAGGCTGGCCTTGAACTCATTATGTGGCCCAGGCTTGAACTCACAGCAATCTTCCTGCCTCAGCCTCCCAAATGCTGAGATTACCGGTGTGCGCCACTATGCCTAGCACCTTTTTATTTCTAAAGCATGTTCTTTGATATTTTTCTTTCTTTTTTTTGGTACCAGGGATCAAACTTGGGACCTTCTGCTTGCGAGGCAGATGGTGGAAATACTGAGCTAAATCCCTGGCCCTGATATTTCATTTTTTATAAGTAGCATGCTAGTGATAATTAATTTTGCCCTCCTGCTTATATTCATACCACCATCCAATTTGAAGTCATGTATACAATTTTAGTAATTTTCAAAAACAAATCTGATTATGCAATCTGAGTTTGAAAACAAAAACTATTTGGAAAGCATTTGGTTGTAAAGAACAATCTCCTTCCACTATGTGTGGTCTTTTATGTCTAAGTGTACCAAGCCCCATAATAGAGTATACTAACTACAGACCCCTTTTTCCAGGATGATCCATCTAAGAGCAAAGACCCTTTTGCAGTTTATCAGATTTTTAATTCTTCTCCGTCTCAAGTCTCCTTCTTCTAAATCACCCTCTGTATTTTTGCAGAGCTCAGAAATACAAACCTGACTGTTACTCCAACTGAAAACCCTTTCATGATTTCTCAATATGTATGGGATCAAAATTAGTCTGCACACCTCACAATACTCTCCATAGTCTGGCTTGCTGTGTATTTGCTCTGCACCAGACAGGAGCAGGCAAACCCTTTCTGTAAAGGGTCAGATATTAACTATTGCAGGATTTGCAAGATGTAACATGAAAGCTGCCAAAAACACATAAAGATGGCTGTGTTGCAATAAAACTTTACTGGCAATGAACTATACTTTGCTCAAGAGCTGACGTTTTCCCAATCTAACCTAGAACTATATTCCATTTTATTTATTTTCTGCAGTGCTAGGGATTGAACTCAGGGCCTCGTGCGTGCTAAGTAAACACTTAACCACTGAGCCACATCCCCAGTCTCCAAAAGCCATTTAAAAAATCTTTCAGATATCTTCTTAAAACTAGGTGAATGAAAAGTGGCTGTCTGCTTTTTACTGTTTTTCTTACAATGAAAAAGGAGTCAGGGTACTTATAATAATCATTTTAATTGTAGCACAGAGATTAACATCAACTTCAGTCATGGAAACATGTTCCATACAATTCAGAAATAACAGGTCTCAGTAAAATGGAAGTGTTTTGAAGACTTCAACGAACTGGATGAAATTCTTCCAGAATATCACCATAAGTTTTCTCCTCTATAAAAAGAAAGATCACAAAAGATTTATTTTAAAATTATTATTTTTTAATTGTATTATTTGGGCTGGGGATTTAGCTCAGTGGTTCCTCCACCTGCCTCAAAAGCGCAAGGACTGAGTTCGATCCCTGGTAACAAAAAAAAAATTGTATTTTTTGGGCTGGATTGTAGCTCAGGGGTTGAATATTTGCCTAGCATGCACAAGGTCCCAGGATCACAAAAATAATTTTAAAAATTACATTTTCTTGGGGCCGGGCTTTAGCTCAGTGGTTTCACTGCCTGCTGTGCAAGCCCAAGGACCGGAGTTCGATCCCCAGAACCAAAAAAAAAAAAAAAAAAAATTACATTTTCTAGCTGGATATGGTGATGCACGACTATAATCCCAGCACTCAGGAGGCTGAGGTGATGCACGACTATAATCCCAGCACTCAGGAGGCTGAGGCAGGAGGATTGCTGGGAGTTTGAGGCCAGCCTGGGCTACATAGTGAGTTCAAGGTCAGCCTGAATTACATAGTGAGACCCTGTCTCAAAAAACAAAACAATATGGGGCCGGGGATTTAGCTCAGTGGTTTCGCCCCCTGCTGTGCAAGCGCAAGGACCCAAATTCAATCCCTGGCACCAAAAAACAAAACAAAACAAAAAACCAAAACAATATATAATTTTTCTAAAATACAAAAATGAATACCAAACATCTTACTGTCAGAGACTTGCTTTGGTCTGAAAGCCTGTGTCCCTTCAAAATTTCCTTATTTTGAAAACTACTTCCCCAGTTCTATATGGCATTAAGAGAGGTGAGGCTGGCTGGGTGTGGTAGTGCAAGCCTGTAATCCAAGCACTTTAGGACAACTCTGAGTTAAGCCTGGACAATTTAACAATTTAGTGAGATCTTGCCTCAAAATTAAAAAGAAAAAAAAAAAAAGGCTGGGGATGCAGCTCATTCCCAAAGCCCTGGCTTCAATCCCCAGTACTGAGACACTATAACACAAAACAAAACAAAAGTGAAGCCATTGGGAGGTGATTGGGTGTCATGAGGTTCAAGCCTTTATAAATGGGGTTAGCACCTATGGGATGGGAATAGGATTATAAAAGAGACTAGAGGGAGATGTGTGCCCCTTGTACCAGGTAAGAAGACAGCAAGATGAAGGTGCCATCTATGAAGCAGAATAAGCCATCAGACACTGAAACTGTTGGCACCTTGATTTTGGATTTCCTTGCCTCCAGAACTGTAACAACAAACTGATATAAATTATACAGTCTAAGATATTATGTTATAGCAGCCCAAGTAGATTAAGTTAAACTCCTAAGCATTTCTTTATTTTCTTGTCCTCAACTATGGCTTGGCAATCACTGATACATTTTGTTTCATGAATCCTGGTGATATCCAAATGGCTATAAGGATTATCCTGGCTGAAGGGGTAAAGAAAGGAACAAACAAGGAGGGGACAGGTCACATAGGAGAGCAGCTGCTGTGGTTAAGCTCTCCGAGCCCCATCAGCATCAGAGGCTCTGGGGACACCTGTGACTACTCTGTTACCCAAAGATGGAGCCGCCCATGTGGCCACAAACTTCTGCTGACAGAGGGAGCAAGTGGGAATAGCTATTCTCCACAAAGATCCAGAGTCTTGGTGCTGAGCACTGACTGCTCAGCCACTGGATATCACTTCTATAAATCAGTATTTCCAAGATTCCTTCAAACTCTAGTATTCAATGGTTGTGGGTATTCCCCACCTGAGCCACCATAAATATCACACATATGACTAAAGTTCAGGGGAGTATTATAGAGTAATGGAGTAATAAAATTTTTAGAGCTTAAGAGGCTTCAGGATCATTCACTCAGCCTAGTGAAAAAAATTTTTTTAGCCTAGTTAAATTTAAATGCTTTATATTACACATTTATATGAACAGGAAAATCATTTTACATAAGAAAATCTATGTAAAATGTTTATATATTTGTAATTGCAAAATTTTTCTACATTCATTTACATATTACTAATGCCAAATACTCTGTAGGCTTGGGGAAGACAAAAATGTTCCTAGTTAGCCAGGCATAGGGCTACATGCCTATAATCTCAGGTACTCAGGAGGCTGACATAGGAGAATCACAAGTTTAAGGTCAGCCAAGGCAATTTAGTATCACCCTGTCTCAAAAACAAAACAACCAAAAGACAAAAAAAGCCCTGGGGGAGTAGCACAATGGTAGAGTACCCCTAGGCTCAATCTCCAGTACCACCAGTACATCACCACAATCTGCAGGGCAGGTCATTTGGTCATTTCTTATCTATATGGGGTGGTATGTGCAGGATCTGGGGTAAAGGCTGGGGAGGTAAAGAGGAAGCTACATCCAGTGAGGGACACATGTATATAAAATGTGGAAAATAAAAGGGATGGCCCAAGTGTTTCTACCACAGCATAACTCAGCCTGGGGAATGAGGCATTCTAAGAAGTCTGGATTTTATCCTGGAGGCAATAGATAGTGTTTTGTTATTTTGAGACAGGGTCTCACTATGAGATTCAGGCTGGTCTTGAACTCGCAGTGATCCTTCTGCTTCAGCCTCCAGAGTGCTGCCATTGTAGGTGTGTGACACTATGCCTGGTTTAACAGATAGCTATTTTAAACCAAGAGGCGTGATCAGATTGTTGTTAGCAGAAATATATGTGCTGCTGATGCAAGCACTTTTTTTTTTTTGGTACCGGGGATCAAACTCAGGACCTTGCACTTGTGAGGCAGGTGAAGCATCACTGAGCTAAATCTCCGGCCCTGTTAGCAGAAATAAGACCAAGCTAGATGTAGTGCAGGCCTGTAATGGATGTAGTGGTGCAGCACTCTGTATGGATGCCAGGAGGATCACAAGTCTGAGCCTTGCCTGGGGAACTGAGACCTTGACTCAAAAAGTAAAAAGGGTTAGAAGTGTAGCTCAGTGAGAAGGCCCTGAGTTTAATCCCCAGAAGCACAAAAACAAAAACAGTACAAAACAAAAAAACAAAAGCCAAAGAAACAAAACACCACAGACAGAGATAAGTACAACAGTCCAAGCAAGAGATTATCAGGACCTGGACCAAGGTAGTGATTGTGGGTGAGAGATAAGAGTTCAAAACTGACCAGGAATTTTGAGAAGCAGAAGGAACATGAATTTTATTTGTTGTCCAAGAGATACAGAGTTACTCAGTCAAAAATCGAATATATGAGACTGGGCATGGTGGCATATACCTATAATCCTAGTACTCAGGAGGCTGAGGCAGGACTGATTCAAGTTCAAGGCCAGCCTAAGCTACACACCAAGACCCTGTCTCAAAAAACCAGCAAAACAAAACAAAACAAAAAATACTGGATGTACAAATTTAGGAGATCCTAGTCTAGTGGATGCACTTGGAAAATATAATGTTGAGTGAAACAAAGCAGACACACAAGCTTAAATACCATATGGTATCTCTCATTTGAGTGAGGCAAAATCTAAACAAAGAGAATAATAAAGGATGGATGGAAGGAGACACAGGGGATGGATTTCTTGCAAATGGGAAAGGGGTCCAAGAGACCAAGGGCGAGGGGTGAGAGCAAGGGGAAATAAATAGAATAAGGATATACCATGTCCAGGAACTTAAAAATGTCAATGAATGCAAACATTAAATGCCATAACATGAGCTAAGATTAATAACATCAGCAAGAATGAAAAGGGGGAAAGGGGAAGGAGGAAGGGAGAGAAAGGAAAGGGATTTAAAATTTTTTTTAATGTGGGAGTCAATAGAACATAGAAGGTACTTGAAACAATGGGCATGGATAAGATGAACAAGGAAATAAGATACAGAGTAAAGAAACAGGTTTTCTATAATTAACTTGAATACCTTTTTTGTGAAAATCCTCTGGATGTGATTTAATATACGCAAACATGTCATGATCCCTTATGGCACTGATATAATCCTGACGTTTTAGAAGATAATATCCAACAAACATAAAGGAAGTAACATACAGAAGCTGGCGATGCACACCTGAAATTGAAATGACAAATACCAAAGAAAGTAAAAATCAGTCAATCTATACAAAGAATTACATTTTTACATTTCAGATACAAAATTTATTGTTGTGGTATTTCCAACATTCTTTTAAAATAAAAAAAGCTTTTCTACTCTAAATAGCCTTAACTGACCTTGACCTTGATATATCCCATGCCTTAAAGAAATCTAGCAATTATGAAAAGTAGTGTTAACTCTGTAAATATAACAATAAAATGCAACATTTTAATTTTAGGTTTTATAAAACACTTAATGGAAGAATGTGGATAAGCAAAAATCCTAGTTTAAGAACAGGCAAAAAAAAGCTGGTCATGGTGATATGCTTTTGTAATCGTAGCACTTGGAGGATGAGGTAGGATTGTGAGTTCACACAGGAGGCAGCCTAGGATGGATGCATAGTGAGATCTTGCCTCAAAAAACCAAACCAAGCCAAATCAAACAAGAACAGAAAAAAAACGAATTTATTTTTTCAGTAAGCTAGCTTTTTATCTAAAAACTTTGTATTCTAAGGCCCGTTCAGGATGTGATAAGATGCAAGTAAAATCTTCTACAAATGGCCTAAAACCAATTTGGTTTGTCTTTATATCCCAAATTATATTTGCATATTTACTGGCTATTCGAACAGTCAGCTGTACCATACCTCCTTAAGAAACCTCTTCTTAGGAAAAAAATGGAAACAAGGTCTTTGCAAATAGGGAAGGGTGGAGGGGGTGAAGGGAGGGCAAGGGAAGGGGAAAAAAAATAAGAACCAAGAGA